GACATTATCAACAAACCAGCAGTCTCCTTATACCCGGTTGTTACTCCTCTTAAAAGTAGGCAGTCACCATAGAGTAGCTTTACCTGTTCTATGTTCTAAGCTTTATATGAATGGAATTGAGAGAGAGAGAGAGAGAATGCGAGCTTTTGTTTAAAATTGTTTCTGATATTCATTCCTGTTGCATATAGGTTAATTTTCATTGTTTTAATATATTTTGCCATATGAATGAATATATCATGATTTATTTTCCATTCTGATACAAGTGGATATTGAAATTGTTTTAGGGTGAATTTTTATACTTTCTGTGGAATTGTATGCATTTCTGTTGGAGTGAAATTGCTTGGTTTATAGGGTATGTGTAAGTTTAGGTGGTTTTTTTTTTTTGTTTAAAAAAGTGTTTTTAATGTTTATTCATTTTTGAGACAGACTGTGCATGAGTGGGGGAGGGGTAGAGAGAGAGAGGGAGACACAGAATCTAAAGCAGGCTCCAGGCTCTGAGCTGACAGCAAAGGGCCCCATGTGGGGCTCAAACTCACAGACAGCAAGATCATGACCTGAGCTTAACTGACTGAGCCACTCAGGTGTGTCTGCATAGGTTTAGTTTTAAAAGACGTGGTCAAAAGGTTTTCTAAAGTTATGCTGGTTTATACACCCACTGGCAGTATGAGAGAGTTTTAGTTGTTCCACTACTTTGCCAACAGTTGGCCTGGTTTGTTTTGAATGTTAGCCATCATGGTGGCAGGCACATATCTCACTGTGATTTTACTTTTTATTTTCCTGATACCTAATAATATTGGGTACCTTTTCATACTTGTATGGTCCATTTTGATGGATTATTACTTCCTGTTCCTCTGAGCCTTATGAATAGATTTCTAAGAATAGTTAGGTACCTCATGTAAGACATTAATAGAGAGCACAGTAAAAAATATTTTCCTATTATCTACACTAAGCTATTGAGGAAGCTGTAACCTTGACTGCCTAGTACTGGAGACTTATTTTTGAGGTGTCTGTAATTAAATTGATATGCAGTTAGCAAAGGGGAATTATTTCTGATTTATTGGATTAATTAATTTTATCATTAAGATTCTAAAATACCCCAGATTATATATGAGCAGTGATTTAAAAATTGGTGTAACACTTTTTAGGCAGTTAATCTGTTATTTTTAGTGAACACCTTTTGGTCCTGTCCCTATGAAATGACTTTTAATCTTATTAAAAAAATCTTCTCTTTGTGTATTATTTGCAGATAGAAGAAACAGAAAAGTAGAGGGGAAAGTCTTTCCAGGTAGATTATTACCTATATTGGAAGTTCCTCCTTAGGGAAGTTTTGTTAATTTAGTCAAATTTTATTTTCTGAGCACTTTGGAGTGAACCACTTATTATCTAAAGGAATGTATGAGCCAATAAATATAATCTACCGTAAACATATGTAAAAGAGATGACATTTGACCTAGCCTTGAAGTATAAATAGAGGTTAGTTCGATGAAAAAGGGAAGAGATAGAAAACAGTTTACGCAAGATACACACACGAGGGAGTGACATTGAGAAAGGGCATGTTTTCTGAAAATGGTGAGGATTTGAGTGGTTTTTTTTTTTTAAATGTTTGTTTATTTTGAGAGAGTGCAAGTGGAGGAGGTGCAGGAGGGGGTGGGTAAGAGAATCCCAAGCAGGCTGCACACTGCACAGAGCCTGATGTGGGGCTTGATCCCACGAACCACGAGATTATGACCTGAGCTGAAATCAAGAGAGGGCTGCTTAACCATCTGAGCCAGGTTAAGCCAACTGCTTAACCAACCCAGGAGCCCTGAGAATTTCAGTGTTTTTAATAGTGAAACTTGGAAGACCAGGTTGGAACCAGGTTAACGACATTCTTGAATACCAGGTTAATGAGTATGGTCTTTATACTGTAGAAAAACAGAGAATTAGTGTAAGTGTGGTTGTAGGGAAAGTGATGCCATTAAATTTTTATGTAAGAAGAACATTCTAGAAGCTGTGGAGAAGATGGATTAGCAAAAGAGGGAGATGAGAGGCTGGGAATGGACTGACAGAACTCACCTACAGTTGGTAGTTCGAAAAATTAAGTGGCTTATAATGCTATCAACTAAAGGGATGACAGGAGAATGTTTGGTTGGTGGACAGGATGTGTTCAATTTACATGTTAAGTTTTACTGCCTGTGTAGTATTCAGATTCAGTAAGAAAGGACACTAAATTGTGAGTATTTATGCCCATGACACAATGTTTAAACCTATTTTGTAGATTGCAGTAAGAGAACTAGCAATAGGGGCAGGAATGTGCTATAATATCTTCATCCCCTCAGTCAAGTTGCATTTCATTCTTGCCCTCTTTTATCAATTGCTTTTTTTGTTCTCTTTGGTGTCTTTAAATCTTCTGTCTCTCTAGACTGCCTTATCCATCCTTGATATTAGTGTTTTGTCCTCCTTTTTACCTGCTGCCTTGTCACAAATAATACAAGATGAGCAGCTTTAAAAACATCTGATAAAATTCCTCATTTTGTGGACTTCAAACGTACTGTACTCTGGATATGTGGTATCCATGTACTAGGTCTTTTATTTAACTTATAAAGCTAGTATTATGCAATATTTGTGCAAGTACTTAAATATCTGGTCATAATGATGCAGATGGACATCTGATTAAAGGAACAGAGAGGTCAACACGCATTTATGTTGTGTATTTGGAGGAATTTTATATATGATGTAATTCTTCTTTTTTACTGAGGAAAATAGAAACCAATTTTCCTTCAATTTCCAGCCATCGAATTCTCTCTGCATCTGGATTCTAGCATAGTTCATGGCACATAGCAGCTAATTCCTTCTGGGATGAATGAATGTGCTTGTATCTTTTCTTACCTCATGTAATGGAGTTGGGGCTGCGCTCCATCAGCTAAACCTGTAAGTTCTGTTGTTCATCATCCCCTCCTCACTTTTTAGGGGTTTCAAAACCTTGTGTTTTCAACCAGTCTCTCTGTAATGGGTCTTTCTCATAAGGATTTAATCATGTTCAAGTTTTTCCTGCCTTTAAAAATATAACAAAACACTGTCTCCCCTTAACTCTCCTCTTTGGTCCTCTTAAGCTTCTGTTGTTTATTTTTGTCTTTCAAACCAGACTTTTTGAAAAACGTATCTGTACGTGTTATTAAACACATTCTCACTTCTTGCCCACTTTCTGAGTTTCTTTCTTAATTTATTTGCAGTAGTTGATGTTGACCACTTCCTTTCTTACTTAAAACACATTCTTTCCTTTCTTTGATGTAGCACATTTTCCTGGATACTAATTTCCTTGCAGGTTCCTCCCCTTCTGCCTGTTCCTTAAATGTTTGTATTCCTCACTGGCTACTTTCTTTTCTCTTCCTATATATAGTCATGGAGTGATCGAAACTATTTATTTGGATCAACTCCATCACTATATATATACTGATAACTAATGTATCTCCAGCACTTACCTCTTTTTTGAGCTCTAAAGGTATAGGTCCCGCTTTAGTACTTGTTTAGCCTCCATAGTCTTGAACCTTGAACTCCTTAACTGTCCTTTAACTCTACTTGGTCTTTCTCCAGCATTTCCTGTCTCGGTGAATGGCACTACTGTCTACCCTGTTTTGCACAGGCCATGCTTCCCTTTCTTCTCTACCCCCGCCCCCCGTACTTTGTTATGGTTATTCTGATAAAATAAACTAGTTTAAAACCATTTGAGGCATTTTTCTTGGTTGTTGGTTATACAGTCTAGTTTTTGTTAATTTAAATTCAGGAGTTGCAAGGCACATTTGATTTTTTAAAGCTATTTTTGCCCCAATTATCAGTGACTAATTTGGATCTAAATAAGTTTCCATTAAGGTTTTTAGCGTACATAAATCAGAATAAAAATCTGAGAATTTGTTTTACCCAAAGATGGTTATATTCAGTGTTTCTTCTAAAGCCTGTATTGTTTCTTTAAAAAAGTTTTCTGAGATGATAAACCTCTTAGTTTTCATGTAGAAAATGATGTTGTATCATTATCGATGTAAAGATGTTTGGCTCTGCTGAGAAAATGACACTTCCTGCTATGTCCACTCTTCCTTACCATTGCATCCTTATTTTGTTTTCCAGTCTGCGTTGTAATAAAACTCCTTGAAAATAGAAACTATCTCTCTTATTTCTGTCTCCTTCCATAGTGATGTTGTGGCCACTATAGATACTTTAGTAATGATGACTTAATTTAAAGGTTAGATTTGTGAGTACCAGTTTCAAGTGAATGACCCCTTCTCTTGCATTCACATAGTACCTATAGATATGGATGATTGATTGATACAGGTTGTGAAAAAGTGGTTAAGGTTTTAGAATTTGCTCCAATCTGAATTGACTGTTGGATTCTTTGATTAGTTGAACAGTATAAAATTGAAGTTTCAGATTGCTTATGACTTAGCCTTAGCTTGCTCAAAAAAAATTACTTTTTTTCTTTTTTTTTAAAATTTCCATCCAAGTTAGCATACATAGAGCAATAGTGATTTCAAGAGTAGATTCCAGTGATTCATCCCCTATGTATAACACCTAGTATTCATCCCAACAAGTGTCCTCCTTACTGCCCCTTACGCATTTAGCCCATTCCCCCACCCACAGCCCCTCCAGCAACCCTATTTGTTCCCTGTATTTAAGCGTCTCTCTCATGTTTTGTCCCCCTCCCTGTTCTTATGTTATCTTTGCTTCCCTTCTCTTATGTTCATCTGTTTTGTATCTTAAATTCCACATATGAAAATTACTTGTTTTTCTTAATATATCTTTGAAAAAGCATGCTCTCATGCTGGCTTTATTCTCTTTTTGGCTGAATTCTTTGATATTTAGAATAAGATAGAAATAAGGACCAATGATTATGTCTAGGACCAATGGTTATGTTCCACAGACATGATTTTTGACTTTTACATAGTATTCATTTTATCTTAGAGAGGCTCACATCTCATGCTTTTTGGGCCAGTGGGCTGCTTCTCATCTGTATTTGCTTTTTTCTTTAGATATTAGGATCAAGGAAGAAGAACCTGATCCTGAAGAGTGGCAGCTCAGTGGTGATTCTACATTGAATACCAATGATCTAACACACTTAAGAGTACAGGTGGTAGATGAAGAAGGGGACCAACAACATCAAGAAGGAAAAAGACTTCGGAGGGTAGCTTGCACCTGTCCCAACTGTAAAGAAGGTGGTGGGAGGTATGCACACATGAAACATACTCTTTTTTTTTTTTAGCACTACTAATATTCATCACCCTAATTTTTGAAATACTGCATGCCGTATCACTTAATTATGGGAAATTTCTCATTACATGATCATTTTGTGTGTATGTCTGTATGAGTGTGGCAGAAAAAGTTAGGGAACAAAATATATAAGATAGAATGCCTTTTTTAAAGATCTAAAATGCCATTTTTAAAACTAAAGTTACTTAATTTGCCTTAAAAAGAAATGTAACAGATGCCATTTAACAGACCCATATGAGAAATTAGCCTATTTGCAAACCAGCAATGAGATTTGCCTAAATACAGATAAAAAGTTGATTTTTAGCTTGAGAATGGCAGTTATATAAAAATAAGAACTTCAGAAATAGTTGTAAGCATAAACATTTTCTATTTTCAACAGAAATGAATAATAAGCCTTAATGATGGAATTTTTTAAGAAAGTGGAAATGTAGTATTTTAATTCAGTACTTTAAAAAAATAAATGTTAAGACAGAATAACATGACAGGAAAAACTCAAAAATAGATCACTGATTATATTAAATGTGGATGGGTTAAGCTTAATAATTAAGACCTGGAAACTGAGATTGTATTTTAAAAACAAAATCCAGCCTTACATTAATTATAAGGAACATCTCAAATAAATTGGCACAGGAATGTTAAAGATACAGGGGTGGAAAAAGATTAGGCAAATGTTAACAAGAAAACTTGAATAGCACTGTTACTATCAGACAGTGAAGGATCAGGGTGAAAATCATCAAATGATTAAATAGGGGTAGGTTTCTTAATCATAGGAAGTTTTCATCAAAGGAGATTTAATAGTTATGATACTTTCCCCCATAATTTTGAAATATACATAGAGCCGAAACTGATAGGACTCTGACAACATACTAATCAAATCCCTAGTCATAGTGAAAAGCCTTAACACATCTCTCTCAAAAATACACTGTTTAAGTAGACAAAATACACTATTAATGCAGTTAATGAGCTTGAGCTAATAGAAATAGAGCGTGTCTGCCTTCAAGTTGGTGTTTTAGTTGATTTGTACATTGGCCAGCCCATTCACAATGATGGTAACAATGACTAATAACAGCTAACATTGAGGGCTTACTGAGTTTTAGATGTTAGACAGTCTTATCAGTGAGGCACAGAGAGGTTGAATGACTCTTAAGAGCAATATGCAGCTGGCATTTGGACCCAGTTTCTTACTCCAGAGCATTAACCACTAAACTGTACTTACTGTCTCCTGAGTGGATTTGCTTCTATATTGGATCCTGAGGTATTTGTATTTACTGGTAATTATTTGTTGGAAATCTTATTTATTCTTTGAAATGTTTTGGTCAATTTAAATAAGTTTGGTTAGGCAATAACTTTTCTGAAATTTACTTTCCTTTTTAGAGGAACTTTCAAGATAAATTGTTCATGAAAGTCCAGTCTAATTGAGGGTCAAGTTCTGGCCTATGTTTTACTTAATGCGTTTTCTTGAAAATTATATTCCTTTAGATTTGTGTTTATTAAACTAATATGTGCTCATAAAAATTCAGAAATCTAGAAGAATATTAAAAGAATTCCAAACTTCTACCCCACGCCACATCAAGATAACCATTATAACATTTTTGTATATATCCTTTCAGACTTTACGTATCTTTTAAAGTGGAATCATTCTCACTGTTTTACATGTCTTCTCTTATTTTGAAAATTTTTGTGACCATATTTCCAAGTCTGTATAGAGTCTACATCAATTTTTTAATGGCTGGTAATATTATTGTATGGATGCGTAAGAATTTAACATCTTTTTTGAGAGTTTGTTGTTGTCATTCTAATCTTGACACATAGTTTTTGCACATTTGTCTGATTACTTCATCACTATATGTTGGTATATGTGCTGCCGAAGCGAGCACTTCATCACTGTATGTTGGCAGAAGTGAAATTTTTGGATCAAAGGGAATTGTCTTTTCTGTTTCAAGCTATACTCTTACCAGTGGTGTATGAAAGTATCTGCTTTCCCACACCCTTGCCAACAATAGATTTCATAGTTTTTAAGTACCCTTTAAAGTCTGATATGAAAAATAATTCCTCATTATTGTTTCATTTAGTATATTTTTTGTTACATTGTGAGATTGAACATTTTTAGTATGTTATTTTACCATTTTAAAATTTCTTTTGTGAATGTCTTTTGTGAATCTGTTAACTTGTGTGTTTTAACTGTCATATATGCTGATACTTTTTCCTACTTTTACATTGCCTTTCAACGTTATCAGTGGTTTGTATAATGCATTGTCATAAAAGTAAGGGTTCCACCACTTAGAAGTTTGCAAACTTTTGTTTTATGCACAGAAATTTTAGTTAATCAGCCTTTATGAAATACCTTATATAAAAAGACTTATTTTTTCTAAAGCTTTTGTGAGTTCGGTTTTTAAACTTATTCTAAGCATCAAAATGGAAGTTCTTAAGAAAAAAACTGTATAGTTTCTTAGAGCTCATTTGAGCAAACTTCAACTAATTTATACATGATAGACACAATTATGTCTTTGATAGTTGTTGCACCTAATTAATAGAAGCATGCCTATAGTAAATCCAGAACATTTCAAAGTGTTCTGCAAAGGTGAGATAGGCAGTAATTCAAAAATTTTAGAATATTGGCTTTTTTCCCCTCAGCTATATTCTTAAAGATACACATATATAAAGTGGCATATTCAGAGAACAAAATTTTGTTTACCTTCTTGAGCAAGGTGTAAAATATAAACATTTAAAAATTGTGTTCATCTGGGTATTTAACCAATATTAAGGAGACCCATCCCTCAAACTTTTTACTCTAGAGGAAGAGGCAAGTAATTTTAATAAAGTAGAATAAATTCTAAAAGCATTATTGTTATGTCAGGTTTGTGTGGATTAGACATCAGTCTATATTTAAGTAATTTAAAAACTAAGTTATTTTGCAAAATTTGTCAGCATTTTGGTTGGTGTCCCATTTCTCCCATCCCAAGCAAAAGAAAGTACTTGATTTACTTCACTTTCCTTGAGAATTTAACTTTATTTATTGTGTCACTCTGTCTTGGCTAGCATTGTTAAATTTTTGAGAACAAGTTTAGGCAATCAAGAATAGAAACTCAAAATTGTTTTTTTCTAGGTTGTATAATAGGTGTTAGTGGTTTGATTATGTAAATCAAGAAGAAAATTTATGGCTAAATCTTTTATTATTACTTTTATATTTATTTATTGAGAAAGTTCTTTTCCTTAACATCACATACCGTAAATCCATATCTAGCATATCTAGATCTTATCTTGAATAAAATTTCCTTTTTAAATAGAAATTTGAACCTGGGTGTTAGGCTTTTCCCTTAAGTTAGGTATATTTATGTGCATCCCTGGCCCCACCTTTTTTTTTCTTCTTCTTAGATGCCTATCCCATTTTTAAACAGTATTGCTCATTTTCTTATAATTCAATTGAAAATAGTTTTCCCGGGCTCTTTGGTTCTTTGAGAACCCAGATTCATTGCTATAATTTGTTACAGTCTTGTGCTTTGTTAGTGCTCTCAAGCTAAATTTTGCTAAGTTAGTAAAGTATTTATCACTTACGAGTTTATAAAATCACATCGATTCACGTGAGTGGTATGCTTAGCGTAGAGGCAAGAAGTCATGAGTATAAGAGTGAACTGAATTGGGTTCTCTGTGAAATTGCTATGGTGAACACAATATGTGAAATTGATTTGTACACCAATAACCACAAACATTACTCTTTTTTCTTAGGGCTGTGTGAGAATAAAATAAATTTTAAAAGCTAAATTAAGTGGAAATATTGGCTTTGGTTAATACTTTGGCATTGCAGGTGAGCCAGAAAAACCTGTTTCATTCAACTCAGCTCTTGGAAAAGAGTTATAGACATTGGGGGTGGACTGGAGCAGAAACTAGAATTGTGTTAGATTATGACGTCCTTTGCCCTTAAGACAACAGCATGACTCCTCCTTGTCTTTACTTATGCTATTCCTCTGCCTGGAATGCCTTCCCTCCTTTCTATCTAAATCCTACCCACCTCTTCCACGAAGCCTTCTCTAACTACTGGAGCCCACATTGATGTCTCCCTGTTCAGAACACCTATGGCATCTAACAGCCAGCACTGCACCGTTTAGCACTGTTTGTCCTATGGCAATTTCACATGCTACTGAGTGTGAGTACATTAAAATATAAATGTGGGGAAATATGCATTTTTCCAGTAAAATTTGAAAAACGATAGGTATAATATATAAAGGAGGATTTTCAGGCTTATGGACAGCTTACAGGCTATATACCTAAACTAAGAGATTGGGGGAGGTGGGGAAGTCGGGGCGGGGGGTTTTAAATGTATTTTTTTTAATTTCAGAGAAACATTGCAGAATTTATATGATTTTGATAGTGATTCTAAAATGTCATGTTTTTTGTAAATTCATTTATTTTTGTTCAGTAACCAGCCCAATTTTTTTTTTTTTTTTAAAGCTTGGGTAATAACATTTTCTATAGTGCTTAATACTATTTGAATATCAGTTCTGGAATCAAAATCTTCTTGCTTAGGCTAAAATACCTGTGTTCATTCATCTAATAAGCACATATCTCCCAAACTCTCTTCTTTATCAAATACTGAAATGTAACAAATGTCAGATTTTATGCTGTGGAGAAACTGTATTTTATTATATCTCTGATGTGTAATTTGGGGTATCTTTGCATGGTTACTATGAAGGGAATTTTAACTATAAAGATAATTTTGATTTATATTTATTTTCTATAGTGCTAAGGGAGGTAAGGCAGTAGCTTTGTCTAGATTTTTTCCTGCGATTTTTCTCCAAGTCTCCGTGTATATTCAGGATGTGGCTATACAAATAAAGGAATAAATATGCTTAAGTCATGTTAATTTAAAGTCTGCGTAGGGTGCCTATCGTTTTTAATTGGACCTGTGATTAGTTATGTAGTCATTTCTTGGTTTATTTAATTTTTAAATTAGCTGATATTGTGACTTTGAAGAGACTATTTAGTTTCTTATACAACTACATATGGATTGGGCCTAAGCATCGAATTTGTGAATGGTTCTGACAGAATAATATATAGCTTTATTTATATAGTCTTTCTGTATGAAATGTCCTTTTAAATTATATAATTCTTGAGCATATTCGCATTTGGACAGCAATCACATTAAATCTGAAGTGAAATTAATAATGTGATATTACATGTTTGAGATACATATTTTTTTATTTAAATTGATCTTAAATGGTCTTGGTTCTGATTGACCTCGTGGTGATAATGTCTTCTATTTGAAATTCAGCTTGGGAGTATATGATATAATCAGTAATGTTTATTTGAATATTTCCATATAAGTATATATTATTCTCTGTGTGTTTTTTAGAGGTACCAATCTTGGGAAAAAGAAGCAACACATTTGTCATATACCAGGATGTGGTAAAGTCTATGGGAAGACCTCACATCTGAGAGCTCATCTGCGTTGGCATTCTGGGGAGCGTCCTTTTGTTTGTAACTGGATGTTCTGTGGTAAAAGATTTACTCGAAGTGATGAATTACAGAGGCACAGAAGAACACATACAGGTTACTAATATTTACTTTTAACGGGGAAAAAGTGAATTATAGGGCTACATAGTACTTTGAAGGTTTTTTTCCCCCCCTGAACATCTTACTGATTTGAATCTTTTAAGATATGACCAGTTACATTCAATTTTTATCTTCAGTAATAGCAATTTAAAAACAGTAATTCCAAATAAGCCAATATAGTTTATCTTGTAAAATGACATTTTATGCAGATTTTGGTCTTTTTTTTATAGTTCGTTTTTTTGTTGTTGTTTTGCTGTAACATTGTTGAATGTCTTAAGCCACATTTATGCTATTCTTGTGAATTATGTTAACATTTTAAATTAGTTGTCTGCTTTTACTTTTGATCTGTCTTATTTCTCCTTCTCAACACTCTTCCATAAAGGATAATTCCTTTTTTCTGATAAATTGAAGTATTTTACCTTTTCTCATTTTAAGATCTGTGAGGTAAGCAAAAAACATTTCATCGAGGAATAACCAAGGCATTATTGATGGAAGGAAGAGCTCTTCCGTTTGATTGTTTTTACATGTGGTTATGTGAAATGAGCCTAGGAATGACCCCAATTAAATCCTAACTTAATGTATCTTAGAGTTTTCTTCTGCTACCATATAATGATCAAGGAGTTCATCAGTCTATGCTCAACACTGAAGAATTGAAATATGTATATATAGTCACAAAAAGTTTAGAAGGAGGAAGCACGGTGAAATGAAAGTGTTGGTCCTAGATCTGGATTCAAATCCAGGTTCTCTGTTAGAGTAAGCAAATAAGCTGTCTCTGCCTCTACTTTTCACACCTTCTACATTGTCTTTAAATACATAAAATAACCTGTGAAGTAGGTAGTAGTATACATATTACATGTTCCACTTGTTCTGTTTTCTGTCTTACCGCTCAGGTTAAATGAGCTTAACCTGTTTGAGTCTGCAACAAACAAAATAAGAAAATAGATAAAGTATATACTTAGAGGCAGAGCTCATTAGTGCATGTGATAGTAAGACATTGTTAGACAAAGGGCTGGGATAGTAGATCTTAAGATGGCCTGGTAACAGAATTTTCCTCTGCGGAATTTGATCAGGATATAAAAAGGAATGAATGAATGTAGAAAACACTGAGTTAAACAGGGTTAGTACAACTACCTTCAAGGCAGCACCTCTTAGGACCATTAATTAAATGTTAATATGGTTGTGCATCTCTAAGTGGGGAGATGTAGTATGTAGCATTTCCCAGTCTCCTTTGATTATTGTGCCATTTTCCATGAGCATCTCTCTGGATTGATTGCAAAAGCAATTTTGGGAAATACCTTCCCAGAAGAATAGAATAGTATGTGAATAGAAGAGGCGAGAGACCATTTGTCGTGAGTGAAGGTGAGATTCTATATAGCACATTTCTGTTAAGTAGGATTGGGCTACATTATGGAGGTCCTTTTAAGTTAGTAGAGAATCTAAACTATTTCATAATCTGCAAGTTATTCGTATGTTCCCATACCACTTAGTATCATGGTGAAATTTTACGATGTATTTGGTGTTTAAGGAAGATTTGTCTGGCACTGATTTCTTGGGTAGGAGAGGGAGTGACTTAGGGTGCCACTGTGGCATAGTTGAGGCGTGAGGTCTGATGAGGACCTGCTGAAGTGGAGGTGCTGAAATAAGAGATAGGTAAGAATTTTGAAGAGAATCAGAAAATACAAGCTTTGTTTTACTAATTGATTTCTCTCTGGATTCCTTCTAGATTCGCCTTTTACCTTATCCTCTAATAATTCTCTTTCATAGTTGTCTTAAACATAATAGAAGTTTAATCAGTCTTTTGTATTTAAAAATGTATTTTATTCATACTGGGAAATAAATTTAGGCATCAAGGTCTTGAATTAACTTTAACATCATGATCTGTCAGGTTTGCTCTTGACTAGTCCAGCTAAGATCACGTCAGCCAGCCATCTCTGTTATTCCTGGGATTATCAGTCTTATTGGACCACAAGCTTATGTTTTTGCTTTAATCTTAAGTAGTACTTTGTAGTTTACTTGAATTCACATTTAAGAATTAAAGGTTTAGTATCATGAATATGACATATTAATAATACCTTAAATATGGCTTAAAACACTGTACTCTTTGCACATGATCATTTTTTTAGCTGGATAGTATCTTGTAACATGTTTCAAAACAAACTGTTGGCATAGTTGAGGTATTCACATGTTATCCAAATATTTGGTACGTCACTTTTCATTCAGAAGTAAAGAGGACAGATTTATTTTGGGGAAAAGTACTATATGAGAAATCTTGCAAGAACAGCTCATGAAACAAATACAGTTTTAATTGAACTGAACTCTGCTTCCTGTCTCTGTCAGTGTTGGCTTATTTTCTTTCTCAGCAAATGATTGGTCTGTTAATGCTGAATTAAAAAAACTAAGTAACCTAATTTTTTTTAACAGGTGAGAAGAAATTTGTTTGTCCAGAATGTTCAAAACGCTTTATGAGAAGTGACCACCTTGCCAAACACATTAAAACACATCAGAATAAAAAAGGTATTCACTCTAGCAGTACAGTGCTGGCATCTGTGGAAGCTGCACGAGATGATGCTTTGATTACTGCAGGAGGAACGACACTTATCCTTGCAAATATTCAACAAGGTTCTGTTTCAGGGATAGGAACTGTTAACACTTCCACCACCAGCAATCAGGATATCCTTACCAACACTGAAATACCTTTACAGCTCGTCACAGTTTCTGGAAATGAGACAATGGAGTAAATCTTACACAAATACTTATTCATTGTGGTTATTTTTATACAGTAGTGAGAAGAATATTGTTCCTAAGTTCTTAGATATCTTTTTATTGATGTGCAAAAATTTTTGGATTGACAGTAACTTGGTTATACATGACACTGAAATGCCTTACTTTGTATGATATTCCATAGTATATTAAAAATGGTAAAATTGCATGGATTTTGTAGGTACTTTTGGAATCTAGAAGAAATGAAATTTTACCAAGTTATATAAAGAGAAAATTGAATTTAACAATGCGAATGGTAGTCTAACCAAATGCATCAATCCTGTGTGGTTTAGTGTAAAAATGAAAACATGTTGGTATTTATCTATTGTAAGATAAAAAAAAAAGTTGGTGGGTGAAAGAAATCATGTTATGATAAAAAAATTTTTGTAATTTTCTTGATGACTGGAATTTTTATTATGCATAACTGACAAATCAAGTTTCCAAGCAAATGTTACATAGTGTAGGCTTTACTTAGCTTATCAATTTGTCATTTTGAAGCTAATTATTTTAATTAGGTTAACTATGTACAATATTTTAAGCATTACTCTTGTAAGATTTTGAAAACTACATTTTAACATGGAACTCTAGGGATAGTCACCTTTTAAAATCCTGTTGAAAAGCCATGTTTAAGATTTAATTTGCCAAAATAATGTCTTGTTAATATTCTTTCAATAACGAAGTTGGGCAATATAACCAATGTTTAAAAAAAAGTTTAAAATGTATAGGTTGAGGCATTTGGGTGGTAAGAAAATGTTACAGTGAATTATCCCTTTTCTTGAATATTGGAGGACCAAAAAAAAAATAATAATAATAAGGTGTATTGCGTCTTAGCAGTGATTTTTTTATCCAATCTTGTTTCCAAAAACCATATGTCTGCCAGGGCCTTAAAAGCCATCATGTAAATTACCAGTAAAGTATAACATATGCAAACATAACAAAATCACTTCCATAGTGACGATACTCCAACCATATGGATATTAGTCATAGAAAACTAGAGGTTTATGATATTTTTTTAAGTCTTTTTTTTTTTTTGTCTAGGTAGTCAGTCTGCACTTAAATATCAACCATTTTCCTTTTTTGCTTCTTCCCTTAAAATTTATATGTATCCAGTACATTTAATTGAGAAATGTATGTTTTTTATTATGCTGTATTTTCTTTTTATTTTTTAATTATTGTTTATATTTTCAATTATTAAAAAATGTACAAAATAAAGTTTCATTGCTGGTCTTGTAAGAGCTATACAATTTTCCTAAGTGTATACCTATAACTGCAGCAGTTCACCTATTTCAAAAATTTGGAATTCTGTTCATTTGTTATTCTTAAGACCACCTCAAATTTAAAGGCTACCTTATTGTACGTTTAAAGTGTATTATAACAGTGTGGTAGTTAATAAAACACTATTTTTTTTCTTTTGAGTTTGTTGTATTCCTATGCATTTAAAATATTTGCAGTGGTATGAAGTAAGAAAAAAAATCTGTGTGGTTCATTTTTCTTCACCTTTGTTCACAGATTCTTGATTTCAGACACTGAAATTATTGGGAGCAGGGATATTTACTTGAAAAGGGAGGTGTAGAGGTACTAGCAGCAGATTACTAATTTTTCACCTGAAAATGAGCTCATTAAATAAAACTTTTGAAAAAAATCTTTTAATTCTAAGTCCACTTTGATTCATGTTAATTATAACAATCCCCTTTTGCAAACCTTGTTTTTGTTTCTCAGAGCAGTGCAGGATAGTTTGATTTATTAATAACGTGAGTTTACACAAAGATTCTTGAAAATGATAATGTAATACATACTTTGGTAACCATGGCACGAATTAGTTGAAGGAGTTATGTTCTGAGTTTGTGTAAGTCTAATCATGCTAAGGGCAGAGTAAAAGGAAAGGAAAAGTTAACAATACGACTCTATTTTAGATATTTTTAAATTAAAACTCCAGTTTCCACAGGTGTACGGGGGCGGGGGTAAAGATTTAAGATTTCCATTGTCTGTTTTCCAGGCCCAATCTGACACTGTCAATAATATCTTTGAATGCATAGGACAACTCTAGATACACACATAAACATGGGCAAAGTTTTCTTTCCTAAGTGTGAGACTTAAGCTTGTGATGTGAAATAGGAATTATTACTTGAATTATAGAAATTAATGGAATGTACAAATATTTTGAAGTTACAAGGATTAGAATTTGAATCTTTAAACTTCTTCAGGTAATTTTTAGAAATTTTTTTATTACTGAAGATGTGTGAAGAGGATTATGTGAGAAGGTTGCTCACTTGATTAAAATAGCTATTAAGTCGGGATTAAAAATCTTTTTAGAGTGTGATAGTAGAGATGTTTTAAAATAATACTGAAATTTTACATTAAGTTTATAGAGTGCTTTTGATCCATGAGTTTCCAAGCATATTTTATCAGTTTTTAGAGCATGAATACAATGAAGAACGTTAAGTAGTCCTAAAAATTACTTAAGTCTTTAGATTTTAAAGAGTGCCCACTAGGAATATGTCCCTGAGCTTCAGATCTTTACCTAGCAAAAAGCGTCAGTATTCAGCCTCAGCCTAGGTGATTTCAAATATTTCTATTTTTGTATTTAAAAATGCTGAATATATTTACTATTTTTTTCTAGTTCTAGAATCTTTTTTTGTGTAGTAGTATCTTTCTTAGTGCAAGTATACTCTTTAATAGGCGTTTAATCAATTGCTTTATTTTCATGAAGGCTAGAGAATGCATATTCAGTATATTTACATGCAAATAACTCCTGTCTATCAGAACATACTCACCTAGTGGGCTAGATGTCTGTACTCTGTATACCTCAACTTAAAGAACATATCACTTAAGAAAATTTTATTTTCTGTATATTGAGACTTAATGACTTTGAGAAGTAATGCAATTAACCAAAAAGCACATAAAGCTTTAAAGGAATACATTGCAAAAGTCAGGTGCCCTGTAAGTAACGATTGGGCAAAGTAGTGAAAATGCTTAAATAGTAAAAATATGTGTACTCATAAGTTGAAGGCATGTCAAAAATACTTCATAGAAAATCGTGCTTAGCCAGTATTGCATCATAAAATGCTGGGAGCATTTGAAAACGTCCACAGGGCTTGCTGCGTTTTTGACCTACTAAATCTACATTTCTGAGGATGGAGAATATATATGTACTTTGTAATAGGTCCATAAAGTGGCTCTGATAAATACTCCTCGGTTAGAATCACTTAACAGAGCAAGCATCTTTGATCCCAAAGTTTTTGCTTTATTAAAAATCTTGTATTCAATGTTGCTTGAAATTTGTGGTTATTATTACTAATAACATTTGGCTTTAAAATATGTAAGTTGATGTACTGGTTGTGCTACCCTGTTAGTAACAATTTGGTTTTTAGTTTTAATTAAGTTGGTAAGAATGTTTTTAATGTAAAAGAACTATTTGGTTCACTAAATACTGTTTAAAACATTTTACCACAAATGATTAGCAAGTCTGATAATCAGCACAAAACAAATTGGTTGATATCTTGGGAACAAGATTTGATATTTTAGTGAAATCACCTTCTCTAGTGATTGCTGATTTTGGTCCTTTGGACAGATTTGTATATAATCAGATATACTGTGAGTATATACTAGCAGCAGATGTGGAGTACTCTAGAAATGTAGAGGAGAGAGAATTCCACATGGGAAATCTGAAATCTGGGGAAGTGAAGCAGAGGAAATGGCGTCAGGAAAGGCACAGTGTGGTTTGTTACGTACGTCTGACAGGAATTTGTGACTGATGGAGTATAAGGGCTGGAGGAGGTGGTCAAATTGCAGAGGAGTTCAGAATTTAATTTGTACCAGTGATTCCTAATCTTTTTGGAATCCTGGATCTTAGAAAAATGCACTTTAGCTCTCATTCACATCCAGGATGTTCAAACACTGTATGGGGGCCTGTTTGAGCTAAAACCTGAACCCTTGGAAAACAGTCTTACTTAAGGAACTTGGAGAAAGATGAGTCGTCAAAGAGGTTGTCAGAAACCAGAGAAAGTGTCACGATGGTGATGAACATAAAATGTAGAGAAGTTAAGTTGGATGAAAAGCAAGAAAAAACCATTGGTTTTGGCAATAAGGAGTGGCCTGCTGATGATCTTTTTAAAGCAGTTGATGAGATACGTATTTGGGTAAAAGACTGGTTGAGAACACAGGAGAAGAGGCTATGGAGACAACAAGCATAGCATAGTCTGTTAAATTTGGTGGTAAAGAGAATAAAGGAGGCAGATGCTGAGTAATGAATGAGAAAATTGTTGAAGTTTCTCATAAAGTTAGTACATTTTTATGTTAATAAATACTAAGGTGTATAAAAGTTTAAGTGACCTCTACGCTGAAGTTGAAAATTTTTTGTTTGAGAGCAAGAGAACATGGGCAGAGGAGAGGCGCAGAGAGGGAGAGAGAGAATCCCAAGCAGGCTCCACACATGGAGCATGATGCAGAGCTCAAACCCACAAATCGTGAGATCATGAGCTGAGCTGAAACCAAGACAGACTTAACCAACTGAACCATCCAGGCGCCCCTGGATTCGAGATTTTTAAAAAACTGCGTATGCTGTTTCTTCTCATTTCATCATTATATATTTAAATGCCGCTTTTTGGTATCAAAAGGGTGCTGAATGGGAGGTCTCAGTTTCCTTCTTTCTTTCCCCACTCCCCAGCTTTTAATTCCCTCTCCTTTTATAAATCCATATTAAGCTACATACTTGAAATGTGAGAACAGATAGGTTTCTTACCTTCTTAAAACCTAATTTTCACCATCCATGAAAAGGGGATAACTAACAGTGGTATCCCTCATAGGATTGTTGTGAGGATTAAAATGTAAGCATTTATCATAGTGCCTCTGGCTTATAGCAGCAACTCAATAATTTTTTTCTCCTTCCACATCTGTTATTAACTTTGAAGACATTTTTCTGTAGTGAAGGGGCCAGTGCTTGGGGGTTTCCATTGTTTGACTGTAGTTGATGCATTGATTTTTCTCCTTCAGAAAGAGGGAGTTTTTTTAATGGAAAAAAAATATGAAAAGAAAACTAGTATCTAAATTGCTGGTGGACAATGTGTCTGAAGTGACCGCCTCATCAAAAAGGATGGAAATAACGAAGCACAGAAAAGTGTCATCTTAAGAAAATTATACCTGATGTAGAACTCTATCATTTTAAAATTTCTAGGAGCCAACCAAAGAATCTATAGATTCATTTTGATTGAATTTAGCATTCAGTGGTTCCAACCTTAAATTGGAAAAGGCCATCAAAGAAATGCAGCTTATTTCTCCAAGGAAAGTCTAAGCACCCAAATAATAGACAACAAATAAAGGAAATGTAGTAGATAACTTCTAGGATATCTGTCCAACTTTTGTCCTATTTCCTGAGGATTACTTTTGCCACCTTCAGAGAGGAGTTGTTTAGATGATTGGACAAGGAGTGGACATCTGGTCAAATTTGAGCCAAATCGGTGATTTCTTCTGTGGATTTAGAACTGGAAAACCGATGTCTTGGGAGGTTGCATTTGGAACATGGATGTGAAATAGAGAATAAAAGATGGAGACCCTACAATCCCAGAATAAAAAGATGACAAGAGCGGCTGCCTTGATTGCTGGTAACTGCAGTTTTTGTTCCAATGTTTTATGCCTGTCTAAGATACCATTAAAGCCTCACAGAGGTTCCTCAACTTCCGCCTTGAGTGTTTACGGCTGGGAGGCTGTTGCTTGCTATCAGATAATGCCAACTAAAATGTCAGATGCAATTTCTTTTTGCATAACAAGAGGTCTGAATTAGTTGATGATTTGGTCCTGTAGAAGATACCACAAAAACCATCATTAGTGCCAGATGAGTCAGGTTTAGATGAGGGAGAACTTCGTATAGATCCTGACTGAGTCAGAAAGTGTGATCCTTGAAGGCCCAGTAAAATGTATCCAAGGTAACTGCTTAAAAAGGCCTGGGAGTCTTTTCAAAGGGCTGTGTGTTCGGAGTTAAGGAATATTGGCTTTCTTGCCAACACTAGCTGTATAGTTAATCTCTCAGACCTTATGTTCTTCCCTTCATACTTTCATTATACAGGTTTGGTCTGGGCCTCACTTTTAATTGTGTGTGCCCAATTACTTAGTCCTCTTTACACCCTGATCCTTTAAAACTCTTCA